ACTTACTACGTGGAAGGGAGGCTTCCAAGAGGGCAAAGGTGAGCCAGGTGTCCTTCGTCTCCTTTAATGATGTTGTTATCCAGTAGGAGAGATTAGAAGGATTAGACAAGAGTAAAAATGACTTAAACACAGGACAAACATGATAATTGCTATTAAAATAGTTTAAACAAATAGCTATAGGAGATCTAAGATGGCAGGAATGATCATATTTACAAATTTGGTCATGTCACTCCTTTAGTATTTTTTCCGCCGATGATCCCCCGGGCTGACGAGAGAAGGTCTGGAGCATCGTATGCAGGTTACGTGCGTGCCTCAGGGCAGTCTGCTCCGATGTGAGCTCTCAGGCCTCCTGCTCCATCGTCATTCCCACCCACCCTGCAGTCACGCCTCACTGGCCTGCTCAGCATGCCTTGAACATGGCATGTTCTTTCATGTCTGCGTGCTTTGCACATACTGTTTCTCTTGTCCTTCCCTTCTGTTTCTGTGTTTCAAATCCCAGTTCATCCTTGAAAAGTAGTAATTTCACTTCTTTTTGGTGCTTTCTATGATTCCCAAGTAAGTATGAATTCTCTCCTTCTTCAGAAAATGACACTTGCCCAGTATTTATTATAGCATTCATCTTACTAAATTATAAATATGAGTTTAGAGAACCCTTTCTCCTTTTGTGAAAATCCTGAAAACAAGAGCTGCAGCTGACAGTCATTATACGGCTAGTGTTCAGCACAGTGTCAGAATCATGGCAGATGATGGAGAAAAATATAACTGGTATTTGGTACTTGGTGTTGAGAATTACACCTGCTGTAGGGTCTCGCAAGTGGTATCATGGAGGCAGTTGCATGTGTCATGCTGTTCTGAAGGCAAATTATTGTAGGTGAATTTTGACATTTATGCATAATGCTAAGCTCAATCTTTTTTTTAAGTACAGTTAACATACAATATTATATTAGTTTCAGGCATATAACATAGCCATTCAACATTTGTATACCTTATGATGTGATCACCACAGGTCTAGTACTATCCATTGCTATATAAAGTTATTATGATATAATTGACTATATTCCCTGCAAACAAGTAGTGAAGCAAAGGTTTGGGAGGGTCAGTAAATACTCTGAGGCAGTTCAGATTCCCTCCTACTTTGACCTTCAACAGGTAGCTTATCAGTATCCTGGCTTAACCCAAGCAAATATTGCTTTCAAATGTAAACTTTAACAGTCACCTATTTTGTTAAGTCACTGTACATATTTTATTAATTCTTAAGGTGTTTTATGCCACTTAATTTATACAGTATTTCTAATTGTAATTTTAAGTGATTTTCACAACTTCTCCCTATGTTAATATCATCTGAATTTTACTGGACTCAAGTTCTACTATGAAATATAGGACATGTAAGTTTTCACTGGATATTTTATATTTGGTATGCATATCATACATGATGACATGAAATTTTTATCACAAATTGTCTTGGCATTATTATCCTAGTATTTGGGAAAAACATTTAATTTTGAATTCCTGAATATGTAATATACCATATAAATTTATAAAATTCACATACATGTGCAAATATACAAATACTAGAAAAGATGGGCAAATTTTGAAATGATGAATAACATTTGTTTTTAGAGTAGGTGACTTTTGAAGATAATTATAAAAATCAGATCTATGATATTCAGGATAATCCTCTTTTGTCAGTGAAAATATACTGTGGGCCATGCCCTCTGGGAGGCAGGGCACACTATAGGCTGTTGAAATGTATACTATTTCCCTGAGTTGGGAGAAACTTGGGGAAGATAAGAATATGCACAAGAAATAGCTGTCTAGTAGAAAGAACTCAGTTACCAACAATATAAGCTAGCCTCCCTGAGGACTTACTATACAATATCTTCCAAATTATGAATTGCCTGCTTTCATATAATAAATTGTTTGATTCTCAGAATAACTGATGGGGTAGACATTATTTTTATTTTTATTATTCCTATTGCCCAAAGTATAGCATAAAAATGTTCTATTATTTGGCCAAAGTTGAACCATCAGGGAATGGTGGACTTAGGGTTGGAAATGTGCATTTAACCACAAAGTTTTCTTTTCCCATTGGGAATATTAAGGATATTTACTTAAGAATTTAGATAAGTGGGGATTTTTGCCATCTGCTTATGAAATACTTTGTGGAGATGTTGACAATTATAAAAGAAAAAATGTTTGATGTTACAAAAAAGCTGACAGGCACCAAGGATCACACAATATCCCATACCACATCGACCAGGCAGTTTAAAGAATCTAGACAGTAATGTTTCAATAAGCATTTAAAAATGTATATATGGTTAGGAATAAATACAGGAAAAAGGTTGGAAGAACATGCACCAAACAATGAATGTTTATTACCTCTGTGGTAGGGCTTAGACAGGGACAGGGTTGAGGGGTGGGACATTTAGGGGAATCTTTTGTTGCTTATTTCACATTATTATTTGATTTTTTTAAAAAGTTAAAATCATGACTGATTTTAAAATTTAAATTTAGTATTTTTATTTATTTTCATATTCAAAGAGTAACTAAAATAGTAGTAAAAACTGTTGGTACAATGATTCAATACTAAAAATATTTAAAAATAAAACCTAAACTATGAAAACCAAAGTTGGAAACTTTAAAACATTTTTTTCCCTTCGTGTTTTGGAATTGCAGGCCGTCTCTAGTCGAAATTTCTTCCTTTTGCTGAAATAACTTTCTAGGCCCAAGATGGAGCTACTCTTGCCGGTGATGCTACATCAGCAAACTGTAACGTAGATAATCCTTGTGTCCTTGTAAATGCTCTGCTTGACCAGAAACACAGTCTACCCAGTCAGCCAGTCCCCAAATGCTCGGCCACCGGGGCTCTACACTGACCTTCTTGTTCCCTCTCACCCCAAATAGGTGGCCCAAGCCAATCATAGCTTTTCTAATTTTCTCTTCCATGTCCTTTATTTTTTATCCTATGAAAGCTTCCTGCCTTTTGCCCTATTTGACAGTTTTCCAAAAAGAGATTGCTTCATAAAGTGTTTGTTTGTATCACCTAAATTGTCTTTATTCCTTCCCTCCCTCCTTCCTTTTTTACTTCCTTCCCCCCTTCCCCTCCTTTCCTTTCCCTCCCCTCCTCTCCCTTTCCCTCTCTCCCTCTCTCCCNCAGTTTTGTAATTTATTTCTTAATAATGCATGTGGGTTTCTTTTTTCATTAATCTTTAAGTAAATTGTTATTACAGGAAGATATGTCATATTTATTCTACAGTTTTCAATACCCTCCAAACAGTATATTTTATCTCAATTTCAGGGGCATAATATAATAGCTCAATGAATGCCTCATAAAGTATTTTACAGAGAGAATATCTGGAGTTATTCCTGGGAGCTTCTTCATATTATCATCTTTATCCACCATATTGAATCAGTTGCAAATACCTAGATTTTTACTTCTAAATCATCCATTTCCATTTCCACTGTCCTCATTCAGGGCTTCATTCCTCTCACCTAAATTCAAAACCTATTTACTAAATTTGTTTCTATATTTTCTAATACGATTTAAGAGTTACTAATTACAGTCAGAGCTGTTTTACTCAATGTCTGTTTTCTTTGCTGGAATTTAACAGGACACGCCATGAACTTTAGATGACCTGAATTCCTGACTGGAGCTGTTATCATGATAGCCTTTGATACCCTTAATGGAGTGGAGGCTCTTGTCTTGGAAGATTTCAGTTGGTATATCTTTAAGAACATGCCACATTTATTTTGAAACCTGATTAATGTTTCCTCTCTACATTTTTAAAAAATGAGGTAAAGAAATCTAAGCGATTGTAATTGTCCAGTGTAATTTAGATCTTACTCTGTTGTGAAGTCTGCTATAGGACCTTTTTTAATCCTCAGTTTTAGCAATAAAACAGAGAAGCTCAGACAGAGAACTGGCATAGAGTCACCAGGATACAGACCCTAATCCATACCGGATGCTAGAATGTGAGAGAACTAATTTGTTTTCTAGGAATATCTAATCACGCATTTACGAAATTGTTGGCTTGATAAATCTCTTAGGCTTTGTCTACCGTTAGCAATAATTTGTCAAATAGGCTCTACTCGGATTTTTAAAATCCGAATAATTGAGGTAAACCTTCACATTATTTCTTTGAGGAGAAAATATTGGAAAGTGTATTTATCAAGTACGAGTAATAAGAACTGAATTTCTGCACATACATGATTGAATAGATTTTGAAAATATTATATTGTCAGGTAAAGTGCTCTATATGTATTCACATTATTTATACTAAAAGGCAATTAGTATTTTTAGCAAACCTGAAAAAGCAATATGAGCCTCGAATCATTTCGTATTAACCTCATGTATTGGCTTCAAGACTATTTCATGTGTAACTTAAAACAACATGTTATAAAATTATACTGTGATGTTTAAATTTAACCGGGATGCAGTTTCCCTTAGTAAGTTTTATCTTTTTAGGAAAGTGTGTGAACTTTATGCATAGATATAATTTTAAATTTCTGCTATTACTCTGTCAAGAGATTAAAAAGAAATCCTTTAAAAGTGTAATTAACAACTTAAAATGTTACTAAAACCTAAAGTATATCATTTAAGCCATCAGTAGTTAGCTTAAATATGGGTGAGGTTCAGATTAACTTCATTCTTATTTTCTGTAAAACAAAACATACACAATCTTGACAAATGTTGGTTCCATAACTACCTTTAATCCTTTTGGAATTGGTAGCAGCAATTTAGCATGCTTAAGATTAATAATAGAAAATGCAGTTATTTGACAGCATAGGTAGAAATAAAGCATGAGATAAATCTTATATATTCTGTTTTTGAAAAGACGACAACACTCCCATTACTTTGCCTCTCCAAAGAAAAGGAAAATCAAGACACCTTCTGAGTAGTATTATACCTTCAGGCAAACTACTATTATAGTTTTAGCTTTTTGAAAAAAATTAACAAATGTTGCCCTACAAGTTAGTATATTAAGATATATCTTACAGACCTTTTCAATCCTTGGTTACTTTGAAGACTCCAAAAAGGTGATGTAGTTCAGATGAGTGTTTCCTCTTTTCTGGGGGAGCGGAGGTTGGCCTTGCCTATTCATTACAGACTGCTTGGTTCGTGGTCACTTTGAGGCAACTGTGGCCTCAGAATCGCATCTGTCCTCTTACTCCACTCAACTATATTTGGTAACTGAACTCATGTTTCCTCAGACTGCCACCATCAGGAATTCCAGCAGTGAGCTGGGAGGCAACCCCAGGCCTGAGGGCTGGGTTCTTAGACATTGAAGGGGCTTAGTGTAGAAAGAATTTTTTTTTATGGATCTAATAAACACAGGATTTGCACTTATTTCTCTACACACTGACTTTGTGGCTGAAATTCATCACCTTTCTTTTTAACATATTCTTAATCAATTAGAAATATGGTAAGTGATTCTAAGGAGAAAAAGTGACACTCATAAGGAATGCTCTTCTTACTATAATCTTCTGCTCAGTACACTTAACTTTTAGTCATTTTATAGATTATCTTAAAATAGTAAATCCAGCAACTATTAAAAATTTAGCCACCTGTCAAATTGAGTGCAGAGTCCACTGTTCTCTTACTTCAAGTTGTTAATGAAACATTATTATATGACTATGATGTGTATTAAAGACATAGTTCATAGTAGGATTAAATAGACAAAGATACAGGGAATGAATTTTATACACATTGCAACACTGAGTTCTTAGCCCAATGTCTATCACATCATGAGCATCCAACAAATATTTGTTGAAGAAATAAATAAATGTTGAATGAGTATTATTCAGGACAACTATGGACCCTCTTACAGTTGTGAGAAATTGTTCACAACCATTTTATTATTCTGTAGAATCTCATGGTAACATACTCTAACATTTTGAACTTTCAAATAACAAGTAGCTGTGACAAGAACAGGTCAGGCAGCAGAGCCAAATCTAAGGGGCAGAAAATAATCACACAAAACCTTCCTGTTAAGTTCACTTGAAAATGAAGTGCTGCATCTTCCTTTGTTTAGATAATACCATTATAGTCATTCCAGTTTCTAATCTAAAGAACACAGAAGATGAAAAAGATGAGGCCCTGGAAGAAGTTTCTGGGACCTGGATCAGGGAAGGGACCAGAGGCTTCAACTGTATCTAGTGCTGTATTTCTAAAAAATGGTAATGATGGGAATATGGAAATATAGTAACATTTGATACAGCTTGGTATTGTTGTGAATGTCTGTTATATTAATATCTATGTATTTTTTGTTTAAAAATGCCATAATCAAAAATTAAACAAGAACATCTGTTGCATCTTAAGCCAAAATAAATGTGGAAGAGATTATAGGAATAAATATGTTGTAACCTCTCCATGATATTACCTTTGTTATGGACAGCATTGCTGAGATTAAGTAGACAAGTGGTTAAAAATACCATATATAATGAATATATTATCATTATTAAATTTAAGATAAATAAATGCTAAGCATATGACTCAACATTCATCTCAATGTTATAACAGATTTCATTGTTGTATTAATGGAAAATTATGTAGGAGCCATCAGGTTTATTTTTCTCCCCCCTCTGGACCAGACTGCATCCAGGCAATAACTTGTAAATCCCAGGTTCATTTTACAACCTCACCTAAATTGTGTCATGAGGACATGTGCACTCATGCTGATATTTTCTCTTACTAAAACATTCCCAGGAAGATAAATATTCTTGACATTAGTAACTCATCCATTTTTGTGGTTGTGTCTTCCACAAATGAATGAAAATACATTTCCCCTTTCTCTTTCCAGGAAATGCAGCCAAGTTTTACTATCTTTAGTGTTCTTTTGTTACAGGAGAAAATTGATACCTTTTATAGAAATAAAAAATTGAAAGTAGCATGTGACATTGATTTGTATGTATGATTGAAATCATATTGGATTATCTGTTGGAGATGGGAGCTGGTGGTTCTACAGGACGAAGCTGGTTCCAGCCTGGGAGAGAATGCGGTTCTTGGAACCAGGAAGGACAGAGGAGCGGAGGGTTTTGTAATTGGCCACGACACTGAGCAGGGTCTGGGCAAAGATGCCTGGTGCTGGGCATTAAGCATCATGGCCTTGGGAGCTGCAGTGAAAGAGGTGGGCACCTCTACTTTCTAGTGGGCCATGGGGTTAGAGCAAGAAACCTCACAATGAATCTTATGGTGATTATTTGGCCTGACTAGAAGGAGGCGTCTCCCATATTTCTCTGGAATGCCTGGTTCCCAAGTCTTGCTAAATTACCAGGAAATTGATAAAGTTGTAAGAAGAAAAAAGAAGAAAAAAAAATAGCCTGTGGTCCTGAGAAAGGCCTTAAAGCTAGATACAGTTTTATTCAAAAAGATAAAGAAATGCGACTTTTCTTGTATATTGTGAGCAGTGCAGCAAACCATGCTTGTTTAAAAAATATAAGAATCTGAAAAACAAGTTATTTTCCTTAGAAAAGTTTCTTGGCCAAGGCTCTTAGGTTATTATAACAAGGTCCAATTGCTATTAAAGATGAAATTAGCGCAGTATTACAGTTTGTTATGCATTTTCCCTCCTACCCCTAGAGCCAGTTTTTGTGCATCCAAGGTTAGGAAGTAAGGTCAGTGATCCCTTCACTGGGTCTCAGTTCATCTTCCAAATGATTACTTACTCTTATAAAAATTTCTGCTCCTTTGAATTGCTTATGTTTCAGCTGCCCATCCTCCATTCACTCTTTCTCAAGACTTTGGATCTAGTGGGTTCTTGAGTCTCCTCATGCCAAGTGCTTCCAGTATCCTGGGTGATGTGAGAATCTATTTGTCTATACTCCACACCTTGGCATTTTGGTCCTTTGAGCTGCTTATTTGTAGTAATCTTTATTTCCATTCTTCTTACAGGTGACATAAATGGACCTGCTCCATCCCTCAGATCATGTATTAGTTACCTACTGTTTTATAAAAAATTATTTTAAAAATTAATGTCTTAAAACAATAAACATTATTTCTGTGTGCCAGGAATCCAGTAGGATCTTAGCTGGGTGATTCTGGATCAGGGTATCATGAGATGTCAAGATGTTGTCCACAGCTTCTTTCACCTGAAAGCAAGGCTGGGACTGGAGGATCTCCTTTCAAGGTGGCTCACTCCTGTGCCTAGAAATTTAGTGCTGTTGTTGGCAGGAGCCTTATGGACTTCTTCATATCACTGCTTGAGTCTCCTCACATCATGGCAGCTAGATTTTTCCAGAGTGAGTGATTCAAACAAGAGCAAGTCACAAGCCACAATGTCTTTTATGACCCAGACTTGAAGATCGCATTCCATTTTTCTGCAATATTCCTTGGTTACACAGGGTCAGCACTATTCAATGGGGGAGGAGACTTCACAGGGGCATGAGTATCAGTTGGCAAGATCGTTGGTGGTCATGTCAGAAGCTATTTACCACACATTTATTCCAATGGCCACTTAGACCTGCTCCTATAGCATGCTCCATTTTCAAAATTGCAAACTCAAACATCTCATTACTCTATGACTACACTGATTCTTCTTTTTCATCGAGACTACCAGGCTATAGATCACTCTATTTTCATATTATCTATTAGTTTGCCTTATAGTATATTTTATTAAAGACATAGTATATTTTGGTGCACTGGTTTACCTTTTAGATGATGAGGATTCTGGTTGTTCAGACAAATAATAGGTACAAGTCATCAAAGCTTTTTTGATCAAAGCAGTGTAAAAAGGAGTGTACAGACTTGCTCATTTATCCTTCTTTGATCTTTTCTCCCTGGTGGTGGCCCAGGAAGCCCTGAAAATATTCTGAATCTCAAGGAGCTGGCCTAATAACTCCCTTTCTGAATATTTTTTCTTTTCCCTCTATTCCTGGCATGGTCTACCAACAAACAGGGATCAGAGGGCACTAAATAAAATAGTAACTCAAAAATCTGATCAAGAAAAACATATATAAGTAACACAGACACAGACAACAGTGTAATGATAGCCAGAGGGAAAGGGGGGTGGGGGTTAGGTGGAGGTAGGAAAGGTGGGAGAAGGGATGGAAAAAGACTTTGCTTGGGGTGATGGGTGCATGATACAATGTACAGATGATGTTTTATTGAGTTGTACACTTGAAACCTGTATGGCTTTGCAAACCAATGTCACTCCAGTAAATTCAATTTAAAAAAAGAAAGAAAAAACCCTAAAAATAGAGGCATAAATGCTTACAGGATTGTCCTAATGAGCCACTTTAATGGCCCATCTGGCAATACGTGTCTTTCAAATCATGGCCAGTCTTCCTACTTTTCCCTCTTACTTTGTATCTGGCTTGGAGACATGACAGAATCAGGTATGCCCCAAAGACTTGTTTGATTAAACTGGTTATATCCACTTGCATGTAGCAGTAAACTTCAGATTTGTCCCTCATGAGCTATATTTTATGAACTGTGGTTATATCTGCTGCACATGTGTAGCCCAAGCTAGTGGGTGGCCTCTGGATCACATGCTTCTGCTGCTTGGGATGTTTGCCAATTTGTGTATGTGCACAAAAATGATTTTACCACAACAGTAATAAAAGTAGAGTTGAAGTTGTCTGAGAATAGATTCCATAACCCGTGTTTAAATATGGGTATTTTGAGCACAGTTAGGTATTATGACTCTTAATCAGAAATCATCTTATTTTCAATTTGGCTTATAGGGCTCAATTGTAGAAAAGTTTGTTGTTGTTTTTAAAATATATCTTTATTGATTTCAGAGAGAGGAAAGGAGAGGGAGAAAGAGAGACAGAAACATCAATGATGAAAGAGTCATTGATTGAGCCCACAACCCGGGCATGTGCCCTGACCGGGAATCGAACCCCGATCACCTGGATCCTAGGTCTATGCTCAACAGCTGAGCCACGCCCGGCCGGGCAATTGTAGAAAAGTTTTATTCCTCTGGGTTTAAGAGCCAGTCACATTAATTTCAAAAGCAGGTTTTATTGAATTTAAGCAGAATAAGTTTAACATTTCTTTACAAAGACAGAATAACATGGATATCAAATTGAATAAAAGGAGAAACATACCAACTTCTGTTTTGAATAGTAATATAAAGTCTGGAAAAATTATTAGTAAATAGAAGTCAACAGTATATTAAAAAAA